GCGGAGCTCAAGTCATGTATGAGCGCCGTCGGCTACGATCTATCCCTAGAGGAAGTCGGGGCCATCATTGAGTCGATGGATGCTGACGGCGATGGATCGCTGAGGCTTGAGGAATTCATCCAATTGATGGAGAGGGGAGAGGAAGAAGATGATACAGAGATGATAGAAGCCTTCAAGATGTACGAGATGGAAGACCAGGGATGCATAACTGCGAAGAGTCTTAAAAGGATGCTAAGCAGGTTAGGTTATTCAAGGGATATTGAGGTTTGCCAGGGGGTGATTAGTAAATTTGACACCAACAATGATGGGGTGCTCAGCTTTGAAGAGTTTAAGAATATGATGATGGCTTGAAAAGTTTATTCTTGATTATTTGTTCATTTGTCATTGAAATATTTATATATGCATCATTATGATTTGTTCTATTTCTTTTTTTTTTTTTAACTTATTTGTTTGCTTTGTATTTAAAAATATTTTTATTTTTTACTTTTATATTTTTAAACATAACATATCAAAATTGGTCGTCATTAACGGAATATTATTGGGTTCCTATACTGGACAACGTTCGGAGCCCAATGAAAATGCGCCACATCACCTCCTATTCGGTACTGAGCTTTGTATGAGCTCGGCACTTCACAGTACAGTACCGAGCAGTACTAAGCTTGGTACTGCTCAATACCAAGCTTAATACTGCTCGGTATTACGAAGTACCGAATTCAGTACTTCACAGTACCGAATTCAGTATTACTCGGTACTGTGAAGTACTAAACGGTGAGTTGTATCCGGTGCCCAAATCCAATAATCTCTCGTCATTAATGCCATCGCTGATTGTCACCACCACATTCAGCAATCACAATGAATAACTATCGTCACCACATTAAAAATAAACTTATTTAATATTCAATAGAAATATAAATAATATATCTTAAGATACTAAATATATTTATTTTAGATTAAATATAAATAAAATAAATAAATAAAAAAGTGATTCTAAATGATCCCATTCAGATAAACCATAATAATGCGCACCAACTTATATTTATGACATGCCATGAATATCAATGCTTACATCATACACATATAGAGGGTATAAGAGAAAAAAATCTATGGGTCTTTACATGATTGGAGTCCGAACGAAAAGATATGTTTTGACTGCACATAATAATTTCTCTGAAGGAAGAGAGATGAATTTATTTTTTATTATTATTATAGATGTTTTATTATTATTATTATTTTTAATAATTTACTTTTTTAGAAAAAATGCTAATAAAAGTTAAAATAATATGTCAATAAATTCAAAATAAAGAAGCTAAATAATACAACATGAAACCAATACCACAAAAAAAATAATATAAAAAAGCAGTAGCATTCGATGGCTTTCAAACATTTGGCAACAGCTTTAAAACCACTAAAAATTATTGTGATTGAAATGTGTTGAATAGACTTTAGATAGCGATTTTTCAATGATTAATAAAAGGATTTTGCTTCACTTAATATTGCAACAGTAAAAAGGCGCTCCGCTAGGGTTTTTCTTCAGCTCTAGCTAGTTTGCGCCGTCAGCCACTCCTTCCCCTCCGGCTCTGCCAGAGGCCCTCTCTCTTCTATTCATGGATTCTTCTCTTCTCCTCTCTGATTTCCCCCCTTTAACCTCTATTGGTGGAGTTTCTCCCACCCCACAGCACAACTGGAAAGTTGTCTTTGCATCCGAAGACCCCTTGTCCGAAGATCTTAACCTCTCTCACTTCCCACAAGAGCTTGAAATTGTTTCATTCTCTGGTGACAAGTTGACAAAAGGAGCTGAAGATTGGAGCCACTGCTTGGTCGGGTATTCCATTGGTTGTAGGCTATACTATGAAGCTTTGCTTGGTGCCATTAAGAAAACGTGGAATTTGAAAGATTCGTTGTAGATGTTATCTCTCAGTGACGAATTTTTCCTGTTTCGGTTTGCTTGTTCGGAGGATTTAGATATGGTTTGGTCCAAAGGGGTCTGATTCCTTCTTGACAAACCGTTTATCATGCAAAAGTGACATCCAAAATTTAAACCAAAAAGGGAAATTTTCTCCTCTGTTCCTATCTGGGTAAAAATTCACGACCTACCTCTTAGATGTTGGAATTCGGAAGGTATTTCTCATATTGCAAGTAAGATAGGAGTTCCTCTTGCGACTGACTCCCTTACATCAAAGAAAACTTGTCTGACTTTTGCTAGGGTCTGCGTCCTGGTGGACTATAACACGACCTATCCTCATGAGATCAAAGTTTCATTAAATGAAAATGTTATTGGATTGCAGGTCCAATATGAGTGGAGGCCATCTCCGTGTGAGCACTGTAAGTCTCTTGTTCAATTTTCTTTCCTCTGCCCTTCGAAACCATAGATAGATGAGGTTATTCAAAAAAAAAAAAATCTGAAGTTACTTCTAAGCTACCCCATAGAGGAAGAAGTCATAGCAGAAATTCGAAGAAGCGTTATCCCTCTACACAACTGGCCAAGTATCAATTTTCAAATGCTTCCACATCTTCTTTAGAACCTCATAAGCACACTCAAACAACTGCTGCTATCCTGCCTTCTTCTGGAATAAATTCGACATCACTGGACATCAACTTGAATCAAGGAAATGCAACAAATTCCATTGGGCAGCCTCTTCATTATCAACCACATTCACCTCCCCCATAAAAACAAAATTATGGCCAAACTTTAGTCCAGTACAATCATCAAAATGAGAAGCCGCCCGATCCAATTGATTTGGATCATGGGCAAGCTTGTATTCCCAACCTTAAATATCCCATGGAAGAGAATTCTATTTCTTCCAGCAGCGCCTCTACAAGCCTTGATGCTAAATCCCCCCGGTATCATATATCCCAATAGGTTCGACATCCTTCAAATGAATGAGGATGTTTGTAAAGCTCTTGATTCCTTTTCTTACGAAGATATCTCTGTGACTGATGATAAGGTTTCAATAAACAAAAAGTCCCAACAAAATTCAAGTTTGAACGTGAATAAAAAGTCGGCTAGGGGTAAGCAACCAACAAACCCCATCCTATCTCTTCATCATGATGTTGTTATTGTCAATTGCAACTTGGAATGTTAGGGGTTTCAATCGTCTTGACAAAGCCTTGTGTTGGAAACACCTGATGGCTTCGTTTAAGTTGGATATGATATATATTTTGGGGACTAGAATTCATGCAACTGCCTTTCAAAATCCATTTTTTGAATTAGCTCATATTATTTTTCCAAATGAAAAAAATTGTAATAACTTTGACCATTCTTCCTCGGGGAGGATTTGGGTCAAGTGGAACGCTAGCAAGATCAATTTTGTTCCTGATCACTGCTCTTCACAGTTTATCTCTGGCTCGATTATGATTGGTTCACTCCCTTCTTTTCAACTAACTATCATTTATGCTTCTAATAGCAGCATTGAAAGGAAAGTTCTTTGGAATCAAATTTCTAATATTGCCCCTTCACATGATGTCCCTTGGATTCTTTTAGGGGACTTCAATTGTTGTCATTATGCTTCTGAAAAAATGGGGGGTTTAACTCTTTCTCAAGAGTCATTGGCTGACCTTAATTGTATGATCTTTGATAATTGTCTTAGGGATTTGCATTTTGTTGGCTGCACTTACACTTGATATAACTAGCATTTGGATAATCTGATTCATATAAAACTTGATAGGGCTTTGGTAAATAATGCCTGGTTAAAAGCTTATACTGGTTCTTACTGCTCTATCCAAAGTCCGTCTACCTCAGATCATTGCCCTCTCTTGTTGCACTCAGGTGTTGATCAGTAAAATGAAGAAATTAGGAAAGCTATTTTTTTCGGGGTCTTCATCTTCAATCCATGGTTCTAACTGCTTCAACTTCTTTTTTTATAAAACGAGTTGGCATATTATAGGCCCTTTGGTTTGCAAAGCTGTCAAATCTTTCTTCACTAAATGATACATTCCAAGTGGTGTCAAAGCTATAGTAATTGCTCTTATTCCCAAAAATAAAAACATGGAGTCTATATCTGATTTCAGACCGATTGCTTTATACAACACTATTTACAAAATCATTGCTAAAACTATTGATAATAGGTTGAGGCATATTATGTCATTGATTATTAAACACAATCAATCGGGTTTTGTTAAATCTACGGTGTCAACGGATATCATTCTCCTAGCTAATGAAATCTTGGACATGACTCATAAAAGAAGTGGTTTTAAGTATTTTTGTGCCAAACTTGACATCCAGAAAGCTTTTGACACCTTTTTTAGGGAATTTTTTATTTCTAGGATGATTCATAAAGGATTTCCTAGCGCTTTTGTGAGTTGGGTTAAAGCATGCATATCTGATGTGAACTTTTCTATTTTGGTGGATGGGGCTGTAGAAGGTTTTTTTCCATCTTCTGCTGGCTTAAGACAAGAGTGCCCTCTTAGCCCTTATCTTTTTTGTTTGATTATGAATTTCTTCTCTTCCCTTCTTAATAATGGATAATTCAAAGGGATAAATATGGATGGCTATTTGTTATCACATCTTTTGCATGCAGATGATGTGTTAATTTTTGGTGAAGCCACTATGAAGAATTGTAATAGCCTGAAAAGCATTCTTACAACATTCTCCAATGCTACGGACCTTCATGTGAACCTTGACAAAAGCTCTATTATGTTCCCCAAAAATGTGCATAACCAATGTGAGCTTTTTCAGGTGCCATCTATTCATAATATCTCTCACAAGTTTACTTATCTTGGGATTCCACTGTCTTTCTTTCGTCTTAAAGTGGCTGACTATCTTCCCTTAATAGATAATATATCTAGAAAGTTGTCTGGTTGGAAGGCATGTCTTTTATCTTTTGCTGGCCGTTTGTAATTTTTGAAATACACTATTTTGAATTCCATTGCATACTGGATTTGTGGTGCAATTTTGCCTAAAACTGATGTAAAGCATTTCAAGAAAGTATGTTCTAAATTTATATTCTTTGGTGACTCATCAGCCAGAAAGAAAATATAAATGGTCTCATGGGACAAGGTTTATAAACCTAAATAATTTGGTGGTTTGGGTCTGCCATCCTTGTCTGATATTTAGTTTGCATTTAATTGCTCTATTATCCTCATAATGTATAATAGCGATTCACCATTATCTGTTTGGCTTACTAGTCGATACAATTCACCTTGGCGCCTGGTCCCCTCCTATGCAACCTGTTTTTGAAAAGCTATTTGTTTTACTGCTGGGGTTATTAAACAATAATTTTCTTTTAGAATCACAAGTAATGCTCCCATCTCCATGCGCTGGGCTTATTGGTGCTTGAATGGTAAGTTGGAGGATCTACATGATGGGATTTTTCTTTTAAATGCTATTAACTCGAACTCTTTATTTAGATTTT